ATATGTCTTTGTCTATTTTTGTCCACTCAAACATGTGTGAATGAAACAAAATACAACTTCAGGTCTGTTTTTGAGGAGGCAACTATGGCAAGCCAAACTGTTCACATTTACACATATATTTAACACATTGAACACCTTATTGGACGTGTATTACAAGCTTATTTGACTTATGTGACGCGTCAAATTATTCTTATTTAATGCATCAAATTATTCTACATATGATAATGATCCTCCCACAATCAATGAATTTAAAGTGCTTTCAGCCAATCACTGACCAAGACAAAGAATCCAGAACAGTCCAACACCGATGTCCCTATACAAAATCTTTACTCTTATCCACAGCACCAGAGAGAACTTCAGCGATGTACATGTCATACACTAATGTGGCCTTCAATGAAAAAATGATAATTAAACATAAATAAACAGGTGTAGTAAAATGCAGCGTAACAAGAATCACTATCCATTCCTCGTCTTTTTGTGCCATCTAGTGGGCAAAAAATTCAGTTGCATAAAATGAAGCCCCAGCAGGCTGAGTTTGTGTGTTTCATATTGTTTTCCTTTGATAATTGTATACAGACAATTAAATAATCAGTTTCTTCTTTAATGAGCGACATACTGAAACGATAAATACGCTGAGGTGCATGACAACCGTTTTAAATTTGATAGATTACAATTTACACAGTGTAAGGTTTATTTTTTGAGTAAAGATTGTTTACAGGGACATCGGTGTTGGACTGTTCTGGACTCTTTGTCTTGGTCAGTGATTGGATGAAAGCACTTTAAATTCATTGACTGGGAAAAACAGTGGGACGAGATCATTATCATGCGTATAATAATTTGGTGTGTCAAATAAGCTTGTAATACGTGTCCAATAAGGTGTTAAACGCGTTAAATATATGCGTAAATGTGAACAGTTTGGCTTGCCATAGGTAACATTATAACACGGCTTGAAAGTCACTTTTATTTAATATAAGAAGGGAACTTTTCTGGGAGAAGCTATAAACGTCTCCATTTCCATGCAGACAAGAAGCAGGCTTACCGGCCTAAATTCCAGGTAAAAAAACAGAATAAATGGAAGGTAGATCGGTTTAATGCCATCCTGTAGCACACTCCAGGCAAAGCAATACAATTTCCACGCAGTCAAGCAGACAGCATCTCTCCAACAAAAAAGTTACATTGTAGAGCTTTAAAGGGCCCATATTACACTGTTTTACTGACCTGTATTGTTATAATGTTGTTTTCACACGTTTAACACACAAAAAAGTAACTGTTAACTTGAAATGTACCCTTTCATGACATCACAAGGTATTATCACAAGGAGCATTTTGCCCTTTGGGGATGTAGACAGACTAATCACAAAGGGTTACTCAAACATTTGTGAATTAAACAAAACAACTCCAGGTCTGTTTTTGAGGAGGGAACAGTATTTTGAGTCCATTTTGCTTAATACAGGACCTTACACAAACCAGTGGTAGTTTTCTGTAGACTATGCCTTCAGTCCACTTTGACGGTTGTGTTCTAATGTGAACGTGGATGAGACATGTGGCCAGCAGAGGTCACACCCACCTGCATCCAGCTTCTCCTCGTTGTTGATCTCCATGACGACAAACTTCTCACACACGGCGAAAGTGGGCAGGGTGGAGGCGATGAACTGCCCAAAGCTGTGAGAGAGAATCGAGAACTAAACCAGGGCTAAACCAGGGTTAGACCAGGACTAAACCAGGTCTAAACCAGGACTAAACCCGGACTAAACCCGGACTAAACCCGGACTAAACCAGGTCTAAACCAGGACTAAACCAGGTCTAAACCAGGACTAAACCCAGACTAAACCAGGGCTAAAGCCGGGCTAAACCCGGACTAAACCAGGGCTAAACCCGGACTAAACCCGGACTAAACCAGGGCTAAACCCGGACTAAACCAGGACTAAACCAGGACTAAACCCGGACTAAACCAGGGCTAAACCCGGACTAAACCAGGGCTAAACCAGGACTAAACCCGGGCTAAACCAGGACTAAACCCGGACTAAACCCGGACTAAACCAGGCCTAAACCCGGACTAAACCAGGGCTAAACCAGGACTAAACCAGGACTAAACCAGGACTAAACCCAGACTAAACCAGGACTAAACCCGGACTAAACCAGGGCTAAACCAGGACTAAACCAGGGCTAAACCAGGACTAAACCAGGTCTAAACCAGGACTAAACCCGGACTAAACCCGGACTAAACCCAGACTAAACCAGGGCTAAAGCCGGACTAAACCAGGGCTAAACCAGGACTAAACCAGGGCTAAACCAGGACTAAACCTGGACTAAACCAGGTCTAAACCAGGTCTAAACCATGTCTAAACCAGGTCTAAACCAGGTCTAAACACAAAATAAACCAGAACAAACAAAAACTAAACTTCAACAAAACCAGGACAAAAGCAGACGTTAGGTGTAATGTAAGCCTATAAAGAAGTTCTAATCAGTACTACAGTCCCTGACAAAAGTCTTGTCGCTTATCCATTTTGTAGAAACAAAAGCTTATAAGCTGACTTTAAATTAATCGATTGGTTTTAGAAATGTCTCATATGAAGCTAAAACCCTCCCAAATTATGCTCAATATACTAAAATAAATTTGCTTCACTGAAGAAAGATTGATCATTTAATGAACACAGAAAGGTCAGATTTTGGCAAGACAAAAGTCTTGTGGCCTTGTCATATGATGCACCCAATCCTAGATTACAGCCTCACCTGTGATCAGTTACTGATCAATCAATTAGTGGGTGTGTATAAAAAGAACCCGAGCACACCAGACCTTCACATCAACTGCAACTTGACCTCTGACAACATGCCTAAGATCCACCCTGAGACCAAAGCGTTAATTATCAAGAGGCTGAAGACCAGATCCACTGCTGAGGTGGTGACACCTTCAATGTGTCTCAGCGTCAAGTACAAAGAATAAGAAAAAGATCTGAAATGACTGGAGATGTTTTTGACAAGCCCAGGTCCAGCAGACACCGCAAGACAACTGCTCGGGAGGACCGTTTGTTGATTAGAAAATCCAAGGCCAGCTCCTTTTCCACTGCAGCAGACTCCACCAGACCTGGTCACCTCAAGTCCCTGTGTCAACCACAACAGTTTGTAGAATTGTCTTGAAATGGCCTCCATGATCGAACCAGTGCACAGAAACCAGCACTAAACAAAAGGCAATTAAAAAACCGTGTGGCATTTGCCAAGGCCCACAGCCTGCTAAAAGGATGGACACTAGAAAAGTGGCAGAAGGTGGATTTCTCAGATGAATCCTCAGTTGAATTACATCACAGCCACCGCAAATATTGCAGGAGACCTACTGGAGCCACATGGATCCAAGATTCACCCAGAAAACAGTTAAGTTTGGTGGCGGAAAAGTCATGGTCTGTGGTTCCATCCAGTCTGGGGGTGTGCGAGACATTTGCAGGGTGGAAGGCAAATATCAATAGCCTAAAATATCAAGAAGTATTAGCTATCTCTTACATTCCCAACCATAAAAGGGGTCAAATTTTGCAGCAGGATGGTGCTCCATCACATACTTCTATCTCTACATCAAAGTTTCTCAAGGTGAAGAAGATCAAGGTGGTCCAGGACTGACCAGCCCAGTCACCAGACATGAACATCATTGAGCATGTCTGGGGTAGAATGAAAGAGGAAACATGGAAGACAAAACCAAAGAATCTTGATGAACTCTGGGAGGCATGTAAGACGCTTTCTTTGCTATTCCTGATGACTTCATCAACAAATTGTATGAATCATTGTCGAACCGCATGGATGCGTCCTTCAAGCTCATGGAAGTCATACAAGATATTAAATATGGATCTCACAGCACCACTACTTCATTCACTGACGTTATGCAACATATTTTTGTATTTGAAGTAAATTATTTGTTCAATTTTCTGTAGGCGACAACTTTTGTCTTGCCAAAATCTGACCTTTCTGTGTTCATTAAATGATCAATCTTTCTTCAGTGAAGCAAATTTATTTTAGTATATTGAGCATAATCGATTAATTTAAAGTCAGGTTATAAGCTTTTGTTTCTACAAAATGGATAAGCGACAAGACTTCTGTCAGGGACTGTAGTCTAGTCTTAATTAGGAAAAGACAAAGAATATATTCTAACAAAATTAGGACTAAACTTGGTCCATATGAGGACTTCACAAGGAGGAACTTGCCCTAAGTTAGAACTAAACTAGTACAAAACCAAAACTAAAGCAGGCCTAACAAACAGGGCTATCCTCTGACAGGAGAGGGACAGAGAATCAGGCATCTTACCGCAGCAGCTCCAGGGGGTTGGGGAAGCCCTGGAGGAGCAGGCTCAGCACACTGCTGATGGCCCCCACAGTGGGCTGAGACAGGGAGGGGTCCCTCAGGGTGAGCAGGAGCCGCGGGATCACACCCATCTCACGCAGGAGCTTGGCGTTTTTGGCTGCTTCACTGTTGGACACAAAACACAAGATTGTAGCCTGGACACTCACAGCTGTTAAACATCAGAATGAATTGTAAATGAATTGTAATTGAACAGTTTAATTCTGTTATAATGACTTCTTGATGAGATAAATGAGCTAAAGGTCACTGTGTATCCATGGAGTCTGATTTTAGTTTAGCAGTTCTTATTTTCTCTCAAGTGATTCTTTAAAATGTGCACTTGGAACTGAATCTTGTGTTTTTAAATGTGAGAAAATGTGTTTAAATACACAGAAAGAGAAAAAGAGGAAGCTAGAGGGCCAGCAGAGTGTGTGTGCACTTTGTGGGGACTTACCTAGACTCTGTGAGCAGTTCAATGAAGTGTTCGAACAGGGACAGATGGAGCTCATAGGGAGCGTGCAGCCACACCTGAGGAGAGAGAGAGCACGGGACAGTCAGAACAGCTTAAACCTGCTGTATTCAAGCTTTTCCTGCTCCTGGTATTCTCATCAAGTATGTATAATAATGTAACTATAAGAAAAACAAGTTTATTTATCCGACTCTTGATATTTACACTAGTGATGCACTGATCCAGCTTTTTCAGTTCTAATACAGATTCTGATATTATGGCTTTAAGAATCTGCCAATATCTGATATCAAACGATACTAGACTTTTAAACTAAAAAAGAACAAGACAAAACTGATCCAAATGTGTTATCTAGCTGTTATTTATCCCTCAAGTAACTAGAGAACAACTTTGTATTCACTGGGCCAACTATCACCAGTAAACAGTCTTATTACATCAGTGTATTTGCCCAACCAGGATATCAGTTGAACCGATATTTAGAAGTGTTACGGGCCCCGGCCCTTTGATATTTGTTAGAGTGCTCCCGTTCTTCTGTAATTGCTTTTGTCTGCGCAGGGTCCAGGGCTCCCGGTCCGCGAGCCCTGGACCCGGATGCACGGGAGTACTCGACGCGGGACGGAGGCTGGCGTTGCAACGCATCGGCGATTGGCCCTTCATCGCTGCGCTCCCACCAATCCGCGGATGACACCTGTGATAGCGGGGACCATCTTCCGCCTGCTCGAGGCGGCTGGATTACTGCGGCCAGCTCGCCCTTTTGTTTGATGTTGGGTTGTCTCATTTTGTTATATTGCCGGCTATTGCCTCGTTTAGTTCGTTGAGACACCTTTTTTTGTTCGTAGTAAACCTTGAGTTAGATTTGGTACATTTTATTTAGTTAGGGCTATTTAGTTTATTAGATTATTTTGTTTAACTCCTATTTATTTTCACCTCAATTGCCTGGTTTTTTTGGTCTTCCCTTACACTGTAAATAATAAATGCACAATTTTTTGTTAAACCTTTAACATCCTGGGTTTATTGTTACTTCCCCTTCTCCCCTAGCAAAGGGGACGTAACAAGAAGCCGATACCAAATCCATATTTTTTTATCCTGGATAGGTGCTGATTCTGGTATTTGATTGAAGCAGTTAAAATCAGGTTAAGTAGAAGCTAAAAGTGGAAGTCCGTAAGTTGAAAGAAATTTGAGCATGACACTCTCAGAGTCTGATGAAGGAGAAAACCTGAACACAGAATTACAAGTTAGGTTGCAGAGGTACTGCAAAATGTAAGTAATGATAACTACACAGTAACTATATACTGCACTTAATAATCCTCTCCTGGACATACGTAGTATTATCGGCCTGCAAAATGCATTATTCTAATTACACTGGTATTTCCTTTTTATCAGCTTGAGATAAGTGAGCTGTAAATTATGCATGTAATTAAATGCATCTATATTTTACAATGTTTTACACTTACCGTAAATTCCAGACTATAAGCCTCTACTTTTTTCTCACACTTTGAACCCTGCGGCTAATATATGGACGGATTCTTGGTTTGGCACATTGTCCATTCATATATACAGTCTATGGTTTGTCCACACAGCGGACACACGCCGCCTGAGTGCAGAAATCGCCGCTGTCTGTGCAGCTAACACGTGGATGTAGGGTTCACGTGAAGTTTCAACATTAGCAAGCGATATTGTCAGCGCACTTAAATATTTTATCACCATGAGATAAAATAAGTACGGAAGCTGAGAGGGGTCACAACAAACACAAACGCCGCAACAAATACAAATGCAGCAACAAAAAGCCACAACACACCAAAAAAAGCCATAACGGAAATGACCGTGGGACTCTATTTTAATGTAAACGGCGCAACAAATACAAATGCCACAACACAAATGGAAATGCTGCAACACATTAAAAAGCCACAACACATCAAAAAGCCACAACGGAAGTGACCGTGGGACTTTATTTTCTGACGGACCGATCAAGTGGCAAGTGAAGAAGAAGAACTACAACGTGAAAAGTAAAGGAACGGAGAAGTTGGAAACTTAAGTGAAAGTAATTTATTGTTTTATCATTATTCATGTTACGTTGTAGTTCTTCTTCTTCTTCACTTGCTGCTTGATCGGTCCATCGGAAAATAGAGTCCCACGGTCACTTTAGTTGTGGTTTTTTAATGTGTTGTGGCATTTGCGTTTGTGTTGTGACGTTTGTATTTATTGTGGCGTTTGCATTAAAACAGAGTCCAGCGGTCATTTCCGTTGTGGCTTTTTTTGGTGTGTTGTGGCTTTTTATTGTGTTGTCGCATTTGTATTTGTTGCGGTGTTTGCGTTTGTTGACCCCTCTCGGCTTCTGTAAATAAGTTATGATACTAAATGAACATTAGTGAGGGGGATACATCTTGCCCGCATGCGTAAATGAGAAGAAATGTCTCAAACTTCAGTAGCCAGACATTCACTCGTACCTGATTGATAATCGAAACAGCCCCACTCCCTGCTGAAATGCTCCAAGACACTGACATGAAAACAAGACAGGACAGAGGTTCTTGCAAGAGTAGAGCGCGGGGAGAGTACGGGGGTGGTGTGCCAAGAAAGATGCTCGTTTGATCATGTTTTGAACAGTTACTTTGCGCTTCATGCTCACACTATCCTCATGTAAAACACACGAAGAAATGCAGATGATGCAGCTTTTAAGTTAACGGCAACTGATGTGGCTGTGGAAGAAGGAAACAGAGCTGCTGCAGGTGAGCTTAGAGTCGATGGTGAGACTTTGGCGACGGCAGCGTGACCAAATGACTCAATGCATACAGACGACAAAAGCAGACGACCGAACTTGAAAACATTCTTGAAGACATGGACACCTGCGGCTTATATTCAGGTGCGGCCTATGTATGTACAATTTTAAAATTTTGTTAAAATTTTGTTAATGCAGTGTATATTCAGGTGCGCTCCGTACTCCGGAAAATGCGGTACATTAAATTGCCTTGATTGCAGCATGTTCATTTTATTTCACAACAACGCCTAACAAAGAGCCTAACATAAATGATCTGCAGACTTGATGGAGACTACTCTTGAAATCTGAACCCAGAATTGTTCATGTGTTTGAGATCTAACCTCGAAGTCGCAGAGCAGGTCTTGGAAGGCAGTGCAGTTTGGGATGATGGAGGTCTCATGCCCGCTGTCCACGGTGCCCACCAGGGAGAAAGTCAGGTGCAATATGTGGCTGTTCAACAGGGGGCGCTTCTTCTTCAGCAGCATGGCCAGCAGCTGGAACACACACATTAGGTTGACTTACATTTATTTCCTTGAGAATGATCCTAAATCTAACCTTATGTCTGTACATGTCTGGTATGGGACATTGATAAAAATGTAATCGCTTCATCTAAAGTGTTGAACGTTTGAACTTGTCCCCACTCATTATGTCACAGTCCTGCCTTTTTGTTTACTTGTTTCCCCAAATCAGTCCATTTCTTAGTCTGTTCCGGTCCTCCTTTTGCCACCTCCCTCCTTTCCCTACAGCTGCCGCTCATTCTGTAATCAGCCCAGGCCCAGTCTATATATACTCCCTCTGCTCCCTCAGTCTTCGCCAGATTGTAGACCTGTAAAGACGTACTCTCAAGCTCCTGAAAACCTGAACCCCGATTTCTGAAAACCCTGTATTACCCCTGAATCTGATCTGTTTGCAACTTCTGCAATTCTGTGTTTTTCCCTGTTTGTTGTCCCTGTTCCTGAGTTCACTCCCAGTTAATTTCTTACTAGTGTATTTCCCAGTCTTGGAGGATATTTCCGTTCACATTTTATATCATATATTCCTCTGTTATATTTTCAGTCTGAGTTTCCATTATTACATTCTCTGTTAGAGGACACTTTCTGTTATTAACTAAGAGTTTGTTGCCTGTATACTTGTGTTGCATTTGAGTCCAATTTACCTGCGTGATACATTACTCCTGTTCACCATTTACTTTTATAAACAAACCTTAAGCTGCAAAAAATAGAAAACTCATACAAGTTTGTCTTATTCTCAGTATATGGACAGGCCATGCCTCATGCGACAGCTTCAGAATCTAGACCTCCAGACCTATTTGTGGGCCAGATATGATGTAAACATGTTAAATATACCTTTCACTGATAACAATTGTAATGTTGATTCATCTTAATCATATTTTGCCAAGCTATTTTATTAATGTTTGTGTTTAATAGTTTATGTTATAATTTGGTGTTTGGGTTCTCAAGCAGAATGAGCCTCACATGAGTCATCTGGATTGCCAGTTCCAAAATTGGGTTTAAACCTAAAATTATTTAGACATCCACAAACATAGTTAGTGGCCTTTGCAGCTAGAGTTTCCCATTCACCTGGTAGCCTTTGATGCGCTCCATCTCTTTGCTGGCCAGAGGGTCACTCTTGACCACACACACCAGAGCTTTGACTGCCGCGTACAGCCCCTCCACGTCTGACGCCATGGCAACCAGACCCAAGATGGCGGCCGCCCCACCCACATACTGGAGGCTGGTGGCCACAGGTCTGGGCACAAAGGCACGCACTCCTGGAGGGGAGACACATGCACACTCACTGTTTTGTATCTGGGACTTTAAAGAGTCAAGTTATCAGATTTTGAATGTTTTTAAATACCACAAAAAACAGTGTCATTTGTAGTGCATCCCTCTACTCTGGAGTTGTGTAAAAGTACCTAAATATCCGATGACGGCGGCTCCAAGAGTGCGTGCGGGGCCGTTCAAGTGTCCGGCAGCATTGTGAAGTAGTTTGACTGGAGTGGCATTTTCATGAGACGACACAGCCAGCTGCAAACAACAGAGCCCCGAGTTAGAACAAATACAGTGTAACACAAGCACCCACATGGCGTTTGTGGTGTGCACACACACAGACAGTGTATGTGAGGGACCTGTTTGGCGATGGCCTTGCTGTCCAGCTTGTTGTACAGCTTTCGGATCTTAGCCACAGTAAGCGTGGAGAGTGAGTGAGCGTACAGGCTGAAGGAGATCTTCTCCTCTGGCACCAGCACCACAGGACAGACAGGGGGCAAGTCACTCTTCCACTCTTTCCCTGCAACACAGCACGGCTCAGTACCACACAGTAAGGCCCCACCGATATATCATCTGATAAGCGCACTTTTGAGACATATTGGCTATCGGCCTAAATCTAGCCGATATGGGCAGATCATATATGTGGGCATGTTATACTTTATTAAAAAGATTTTGATTCTTTCTCATTGGTAATTACTTAGCTACTGTAAGCTACCACACATCAACAGCCTGTTTTCTTAAACTGGCCCACTAAAGTGACTATTGTAGCTGTATACATATGTTATTGGACATGCATTGCTATTCAGATGAGCTGTCAAAGTCTGAATGATCTGCATTTATAAATATAATGAATAACCGCAGCCCACACCTAGGCTAACTGCTAAAGACTAGGGTAGCTTTCTTATTTTTGTTTACAGGCTAGAAAGTCATGCAAAAATGCCATTAGGCCTATCTACTGTCTTTAAATATGATTGTAAAGAGGCAAAATAACAGTCAATGGAGCCTAAATAAATTCAACTCAATCCCATGTCAAGTTTTATAATCAGCTGAAGATTTACAGTGAATTCTAACATCACTAAATATATCAGCTGTTTATATCAGCTACCAGCACCTCCAAAGCCCGTTTTATCTATCGTATCAGATCAAAAAAAATCTATACTGGTTGGGCCCTACTACATAGTATTGCACATATGCAATACTCCACATATGCAGTACCACACAGACACTGCACTATCCAGTACTAAACATATGCAGTACCACACATATGCAGTACCACACAGACTATGCACTGGAGAGTACCACACATATGCAGTACCACACAGGCAAAGCAACAGTCAGCACTACACACATGCTGTACAATGAGGACCCTTACACGGGGGATAGACAGCTTGGAAGCTGCCCACATAGTTGGGTCCCAGCTCGTAAATGGTGGTGACCGTGGAGGCGGGCAGGACCTCCTCTAAGAAGTGGCTAGGACCCAGACGCCACACCAGGCTGGACACCTGTCTCTGGGCAGGGGGCGTTCCGATGTAGCCGTACACTGTGCTCACCACAGGGGGGTTAGTGGAGCCTGAGCCCCCAGGCCCACTGTGGATGTAGTGGAGCTACAAAGAGAAATACAAAAGTCAAAACAACCACAGAGTCATATACTGCACAAGTACTGCACACATGCATGCACACATAGTGCACATGTTCTGCACATGTACTGCACACACATACTACACATATGCTGCGTATATCCACAGCACTGGGGTAGGAGGTCTGCACCTTGACCGTGTTGATGAGCTGTCCATCCAGGTAGAGTGTGGCCATGCTGTTCTTCAACATGCCCTTACTCATAACCAACAGCAGATGGTGCCACTGTCCCTCCACGATGAGCTCAGAGCAGCGGAAGCGTGCACAGCAGGGCAGCAGCTCATAGAAGGACGACTCATCACTGGACTCCTCAGCAGCTGAAGAGAGGCACAGGGTGTGTGTTAGTCATATTAAAGCACACATATTAATGACCATAATAATGTGAGAGTGGGAGTTAGAGCTAATGACCATTATCAAACATACTAGTACATACTGAGAGCGTGGGCTTACAGTACGTGTGCAGCAGCTCCTCTTTGGTGGACACAGAGATGCAGTGGTCTTTAGCTGACAGCACCACAGACAGACACACATAGTGCTGCTCCGAGGAGCTGGCCCTGCGCACCAGGGTCAGCAGCCTCAGGGGGTGGGCCTGGGGGGCCACGCTGAACCGCTCCACACAGAACCAGCTGGAGTACGTCAGGCCAGAGGGAGGGGGGAAGAGGCGCTCCCCTGCACGCGCACACACACACACGCAGGAGATGGGTTAGGCATTCACAGGGGGATTCACAAAGAAAACCAACTCACAGCTTCTAATGGTTCATCCTCATGCACAGACCTGAAGTAACTACTTTAGTTGGATACTCCAGTATACTACAGACTGTCACGTTTAGACTCTCTATCCATTCTATTGCCAAAACAGAGTTATTCAATATTAATTTAAGTCTTCTTTAGCTTAACTGCACACACACTGGTCAGATACAGCTGTGGACTCACACTGACCTGTACCGATCCCACTGAGCACAGCCCCGTCGCTCACAACCGAGCCGCTGGTGGTGTGGGGGGGGACATTGTGTGGGGCCAGACTGGGCAGAAACAGACAGCTGCAGGGCAGAGGAGCACACACCACATGAGACTTCATCAGACTTCAGGAGAGCAGACAGAATACACTTTCATACAGTGAGCTCAGCACATACCCAAAGCCCTCGAGAGATGTGTCAAACTCTACAAACGGAGGAGTGACCGCAGAGCCATGGAGCCGGATGTCGTGGGGCGTTGTCATGGAGACCAGACACTTGACCCTGGTGAGGGGCACAGTGCTACCCTCTGCTGAGCGCACCAGGCTTCGACTGATGCGATACTGGCCGTTGTCCTCAGCCGGAGTGGTGAAGACACTGTCAGGACCAAAGCCCTCCATGGACAAGGTCATACTGTCTGTAGAGTGAGAGGGAGAGACAGACAAGGTCAGAGGCAGAGGGTCAGGGGCAGCACAGAGAGGGAGAAGGTCAGAGGGAGAAGGTCAGAGGGAGAAGGTCAGAGGGAGAGGGTCAGAGGGAGAGGGTCAGAGGGAGAAGGTCAGAGGGAGAGGGTCAGAGGGAGAGGGTCAGGGGCAGCACAGAGAGGGGATGGGTCAGAGGCAGAGGGTCAGGGGATGGGGGGGGCATGGGAGGAGCCATCAGGGCAGTGTATCTGTTTATAAACTTCATCTAAAGCAAGATGAGGAACAGACTGAGCACATGACACCAGCACTGAAGGAGGAAGTATAGCCTTTGCCCTGCTCACAGTTTACAATAGGCGTGTATGTGGTGTATGTGTGGTGTATGTGTGGTGTGTGTAGTACAATGTTGGGAGTAATGTGTTAGAAAAGTAACGAATTACAGTAATACATTTCATACATATACATAATGGGAGTTGGAGCTGCCGATAGCCGATATAATCACCGATATATTTAGTGATGTAGAAATTCACTGTAAATCTTAAATTGTTTAAAAAACTTAGGTTTGGCTCTAGTGGATTTTAAATTGGGTTTATTTAGGCAACATTTATTGTTATTCTGACTCTTTGTGTCATATTTACAGACAGTAGGTCAGACTAATGGCATTTTTGCATCACATTCTAGCAGCTAGTGATGGGTATTCCAGTTCTTTTTAGAGAACCGGCTCTTTTGGTTCGGCTCACTAAAAGCAGCTGGCTCTTTCGGCTCCCAAGCGGCTCTTCAGATTGTTTTGTTGCAAGCAGGATTAAACCAGAACTGAACCAGGTCTAAAGCAGGTCTAAAGCAGGACTAAAGCAGGACTAAACCAGAACTGAACCCAGACTGAAAAAGGGCTAAACCAGGACTAAAACAGATCTAAACCATGTGTAAAACAGGACTAAACCAGAATTGAACCAGGACCATCTCTCTCCATCTCTCGAGCCCAAGATTATTATAAAATAAATTAACCAGGACTAAAGTTTAATAATAAATATTGTTTTATGTTTATGTTTTATAATAAACTTGCAAATTTTTCTCTTCTATGCACACGCAGATTTCTGAAAGATTCGTTTTCAGCCACTGCCGCTGTCAAACTACCACAAGACAAAGTCGACATATTTCCAACACTCACTGCTAACACACAGGCTCCTCCTCACATCACAAGTCTGCACTAATAAATGTCCTTTTAATCTAGACTCAAACTGATTGTCCGTAAAAAGAATATAATCTCAGTGTTGCACTTGGATCTGTGTCTGCGGGTGTAAACAAGAACACTGAGTGACGTGACGTGAGTGACATGTGTTCAGGGACATTACGGACACACACACAGACAAATGACTCAGCAGATAAATGATGCGGAGCCACATATTAGGACATTTATCTGTAAACAGGATTGAAGGAACATAACTGTAGAGAGTCTAAGCTTTATAACGACGTATAACATGCCCATGTGAAATATCGGCCCATAACAGCAAACATATTGGCCCAATATCCAATATGCTTCCAGGTGCCCATATCGGCCGATAATATCGACCAACCGATATATCGGTTGGGCTCTAATATAAGACAAGTTACTTTTCATTTTCTTATGCTCCACTGTTTACATCAGCATTTCACTGGAGCAGTACCAGGGCCTCTCCAGACGGCCCCTGTGCTCTGTGAGCGAGGCTTGAGGCATCAGAACACCGCACGGCTATTTACACCCGCCTTGGCTTCAGCTCCTCCAGTCGTCATGAGGCATGCACGTTTCAGCTCTTCCACTTGTCACGAGGCCTGTACATGCATGCTCCCTCTCCCATATCCCAGCGCGAGTCCCGCTCATGTAGAGAAAAGTCCTTGCATGGCTCTGTGTGGATCCATGCATTTCCCCTCACCCAATAGTGTGAGTGCAACCAGTGCCCTGACTCCTGACCCATTTACACAGCGGTGAGAAGAACGAAACACACTGAGCTAAAGATTTTCTGATCCAAACTAACTCTGTCCTGCAGAGGACCTAAAGGTTTCATGTCAAAGTTTTCTTCATAAAGCGGCCCGCTGCATGATCTGCTCAGACTTATGATAACACTATTTAAGCTTGTAGTGTAACTGCAGTTCTATGTATGTGATAATGTGCACTTATAAGTGTAATGGGCATTAAAAACTTAAAAATATGTGTGTTAAAAGCAAGTAAAAGTTGGGTTACAACAGTGGTTCTTAAACTGTGGGTTAGGGTTCCTGACCCACAATACATTGTTTGTTTTTAGTTTTAGCTCATATTAAGCAAAAAAATAATAATTGAAATATGGACAATTTTATAAATTAAAGTGGCAATGTCAGAAAAATGTAACATCAACTGACAATTCTAAGGAAAATTGTGAAATACAGAATTTGTGCATGACAATTTTTGCACTGTAAGTGGTAATATATAATGTATTACATCTTTACATTGGTACTAAAGTGTATGTGTAATTTATGTGTGTAGGGTGTGCGCCTCTGGGGTACAGCCAGCGTCTCTTACTCCTCATGTCAGGATCATAGCTGAGTGAGCTGGGCTTGTGCACACGGTACTGCTTCAACTGCTTCTTGTCCCACGCACCACAGTTTAACGGGTCCCCGAGCCGCAGGAACTCCCTGTGCAGAGCAGATGAAGGGCTGAGTGTGAACAAGACAACCATTTGGATTTAAAGCTCATCCACACCAGAGAAGCGACACTTTCCACAAATAGCAATAGTCCAGTAAACAAGAGTGCATCTTTACGGTTTAAAAGGTCATAAACCACAGTGAGTACTGGGCTGTGGCGTACCTGAGAGGGGTGGGCAACAGCGCCTGAGAGGCCAGCCTCTCGAACATCCTCTGGAGGGGTGGGTGCAGTGGGTGCTCCTCGTCGCCCAAGGCCTGGCTGCAACGCTGGAGCAGTTTCTGGTGCACACAGGCCTCACACAAGATTTGCTGGTTCCTCTCCGAGTTCACCAGCTGCTGGAGGACATTTGCCACCGCCAGCTGCAGGTCCAGAGCATGCTGCACACAGGAGGACAGGGTAGTTTAAAGTGCACTAAAACATTGCCTAGGTTTCCATAGTTTTACAATTTTATGTATTTCATTGATTTTTCTTCTTTCCTTCATTATACTGCCTATACTTCTGTTGCAGACTGGATTGAGCTGGCACTAACAGTCAGACACTCTTATGCACTTTAAGATTCATTGCATATTCCCATGAGTCCAGTCCCAGCCCTACGGTCAGAGGGTTTGGGTCTCACCTCAGGTTGGCTGTCAGAGCTCACAGAGGGCAGCAGGTCCAACATGGCCAGAACTGCTCCTGGATGTATAACCACCATATCAGACAGGGACCAGGAGGAAGGGGGTGCTGGTGAGGCAGACAGGTGCAGCTTCAGCTCAGTGAGGGCTTTGACAGGAGCAGAGGAACCGTAGTACCCAAACCTGGAACAAAACACAGTGTACTGAACTGACCAGTCTGAGCACAACTCTACATGTGAAAGATACTGTGTGTAGGATCCTTTAGCGCAGACATTCTGTGTTGGTGTCTGCTATACAGTTATAATTGCTGACACCCATGGATCATTATGTTATAATTTGGACATTTTAATTTGAAATATACTGTACATCCAAAAAGATCTAATAAAAGAAACAATTTCACTGACTTCTGCGTTAAAAAACTGAGGTGCCCAATGGGGCTGACGTCGCTGCAAACGTCATCACAACAAAGCTCCACATGCTGAGGCCCCACCTGTGGACAGCTGCACACCACATTAGAGCAAAGATTTTTTTTTTTAAAATAATTTGTACCAAAATGAGTATGCGACACAGCCCAATCCTACATGTATCACCGATTGGGGGGGGAGGGAAGAAAAGGAGAAAGAAGTAGAGAGCAGTGGGCTTATGCTGGAGGTGTAACATGGTTAAAAGGTCTGAAATGTCTATTCTGTTGAATAGGTCAAAGATATTCTCTTCATATTTGTCCCCAGATACCGGATAAATGTTCAAATGAAATAATGGTTTAACTACTGATAATGTGTTCCCAATTTGACAATAGGGGCACATGCTGCACATAGTAGACTAAAAGTACTTTAAACACTTGTTTGGCAGTGATAGTTTGTAGTTAGCCAATGGGTGGGAATGATATATTACGATTGCATTGTGCAGTATTTTCCATGAATAGAAGAGATTAATGGTGTCATTCTATTTCAAAGATTTGTTTAAAGGTGAAATAGTTGCAATAGGTGCAATGATACACCAGAAATGAAGCAGAAATGATGGGAAACAATGCATTATGGGAAAAGCACATACAGTACATGACAATAGGCTTCACAAACAGCACTCATGTCAGGGCTGTGCAATGACACATTTTGATGGAGATCGAAGTTAAATCGTTTGAAATTGTTAGAAGCAGACTTAAGACCAGGAAAAAAGAAATGTGACTTGTTTATGCTAAGAAAATTATAACTGAAAGCCATTTTTATTAGTTTGAAAAAAAAAAAAAAAACCTGAGGAATTGAGACCAATAAATATGAAGAAAAAGAAGTTTTTGTCTTATCAGCCAGCCTTAAATCATGACATTACACAGCTCTCTCATGAGCCTGGAGTTGGAAATGGGGGTGGAGGGGGGATTTGCAGTTTAACTGACAAAATGCATAAACAGAAACTGGCTCAAGGTTCGCCATCTCCTTTGGCAGAACTGGAGGGCTAATATATTTTTACTATAAAAAATTTGGGCCATGTAACATATTTTATACAAATATCTGAACTTGCATACTGCAAAAATGTCAAACTTGATTTTGATGTTAAAGAAAACATACATTTAATACTGCTTTGTGCTCTGATACTACCGTAGTTTTCATATAGTTCATAAGTCCATTCTGAAACTATGCTGAAGCAGACCTTTTTTCAGTTTTAGTAACTAAAGACTTCCATGTATAATTTTTTGACAAGTCTAAACTGAACTATGACACAAGATTAAGATTAAAGAGGAGTATTACACTTCTATGGGTATTAAGTGCTAACACATTACACACTTAGAGCATCTTATTGTTTTGAGAATGCTATTGTTATGTGCTATAGTTTTGTATATTTATGGAGAATTGTCATGTGGAAGTATGGGTGACATAGACTTGTGCACAGAACCCGTAATGGGGGTTTAAATAGGGCCCAAGAGAGACCGCTAAAATACTCAAACATGCATGGACGACATCAAAAACTTCTTCAGGCAGGTTTTTGATGAGGGAGCAACGTTACAACATAGTACAAAGCTTTAAAGGTCCTATATTACACAGAATTGACTCATGTGAGTCATGTTGGAATGTTGTTACCACAAACATACTTGGAGTTGGGTTTTAGTTCATTCACATGTTTGAGCTTTGGAGATGCACACAGACTAATGATTAACGATTACTCAGAGGGCTCTATTCCAGAAGTTCACAGCTACCTTTTACCTTTTGTTCAATAAACTGGTAAGACCAGAGCTGAAATCATCCAAACTCAGTCTAAATATGAAGGATTTCAGTGTGAAACATGTGTGAAGGAAACAAAACAGACCTCTAGGTATGTTTGTCAAGCGGAAACAACATTATAACAGAAAATATTGTAATACAGGCCCTTTAAAAAGCGGATTTTGCATAATGCCCCCTCCTTGAGTTTGTATGTGCATTCCTTATTACATTTGAACAAACGTGAATACTTCCTGTTTAAGAACACAAAAATGATGCAGTGGAGGGTCACAGCTGAACTCAAGGTGAGAAAACCACAGAAACAAACTCAGTCTAAATGGAACTATGAGAAAGATGTCAGAGGATGTCTGAGTGTGGCTGTATGAGCAGATGGAGGCACGGGCCTGGCTGGAGCAGTACCTCTTCCTGGTGAGTGCGGGGGTGCCCCAGGGCGAGGGCAGCGAGGTCTCCTGACTCAGACAGGGAGGGAGCTGCTCTGTGCGACTACGGCACCGAGGGGCAGTATACACACACACGCACACAGGCCAAAACATCGCAGAGGAAGAAAAAGAGGAAGAGCAGAGAGGTTAGTGACCAGCACAAACACTGACCAGACCTGAGCTCCACTTAAGGTGTCTCATGTTCACTTGTCCCATCAACTCCTCAATGTATGGCTTTCAGAAGTATGAAAAATTAGGACTGTTGCCAAAGTGAACAGTTTCAACAAACAAAATATGATCATTCATGTTCACCTTCTAGAATTTGAAAATTACATAAAAGATTATCTAAAACTGTTGCACAAACTTGCCCTTTTAAACTTTTGTTTTAAAGTAATTTTGACTGACAACAATTGTGTCTTTAGGTTTTAGTAATGGCACCAGTTTGCTGTAAGGAAATCATTTCATTGATGACAGAGAAGCTGGTGAACTTTGTGCCAGTTGTTGTTTCATATGGATAGGCCCAGGTCATTACACTGTGTGCAGCTGAGGAGGCAAGTGATCGGACTCTGTGGACAGAAGCCAGTGCAGAAAGAGAAAAGAAGCAGAGGAAGCAGGCCCTGGTGCAAATGTCCTCAGCACAGACACGCTGTTCCAGGTTTATACACACCCGAACACACACACACAACAGCACCTCTAGTGGACTGTATGGACACAACATTGTCTAAAATGTTCCTGTGGCTGCAATATAGAATACACCTTTAAAATCTCCTGCTTATCAATGCATGTTTATGTATAACTGTCTGATTCGGAGCCAGATGTTTCAGCTTAGCTCCTTGCCTCTGCCTGTACATCAGGCACATAATGGCCTGAAAGTGAGTTACACCAGTAAAGTCTGAGACATAGGTAAACTGACTCATTCTTCAGTCAGGAGCACCTAGGCTGCGCTAAACCAGGCTGTGCTGAGTGAAAGTGCAGGAGTGTGTGGTCAGTGGGAGTCACCTGTCGAAGGAGTCGGTGGCCATCTTGTAGAGGTAAATGAAGAGCTTGCTGCAGTGTTTGAGAGTGGGGCACACACTGTCCCCACCCCCCGTGGGCCCTAGCTCCTCCTCCAGGAGCCTCTGGAAGGGCTGGGCATTGGATGGGAACACACCAGTGGCCCCCAGCTTCTTCACGTCCGAGAAGCAACCTAGGAGTCTGAAGCACACGCAAGAGTCAACTGTCAACTAAAGTGTGATGTAAAACAGAACTTTGTATTTGCCACCATGTGCACGACCAGTCAAAAGTCACGCACTAATGTTTCTTCTCTATTTCCAAGACTATTTACATTGTAGATCCTCACTGAAAGCTTCATGGCTCAGCTTCTGTTGTAGGGAGCATTATACCTCTGATGATACAGGCCAAGATAACAGGGACTGAGCTAGTAGTGAAATGGAATTTCTCTAATAATGTAGAAAATAATTTTATTTTTATTTTTTCAATATCCACCCTTTGAATACTACTTTGCACTTTTAGCATTTCTTAACCCTGACAAGGTACTGCTGTAAAGTGAAAACCATTTCAGGAAAATTCATCAAGAGACTCACTAAGAGAAGGCCAAGGGTTTGCAGTGCTGTTGACAAAGCAAAGGGTGGATACTCTGAGGATTTTAGTATAAAATATATAAAAAAACAAAACAAAAAAACTCCATATATCTTGCTTCATATATTTGATGTCTTCAGTAAGTATATAAAATGTGGAAAGAAACAGAAACAAACATGAATGACAAGGTGTGTCCAAACTTTTGACTGGCAGCGTACATCCAAAATGCCCTACCTGACTGCATCAGCCAGCTTCTCGTACTGGATCTCGGTCCTGAAGAAGTGGGAGTTGGCGGGCTCGTAGCGCATGGCAGCAGTCAGTGTACAGAAGACTGTGTGCAGCAGCTCAAAAACCTGGTTCTGGTTGGCCCGCTCCCAGCCGTGGCAGGGAGGTTGGCACAGGCAGCGCTCCATGGCTACCAGCAGAGAGGTGACATACACAAAGCCCCCCACTTTCCGGAACACTGTGCGAGTGCGGTGGCTCTCACGCAGCACCAGCAGCAGGGCCTGCGCAGCACAGGGACAGTTAAGTCCACCCTCAGGGAGCAGCACACATGGTCTACTGTGTGGAAAGATCATTCTAACAGCTCATGTAACTGACCACTGTAAATCTGAGGATTTGCACTGATTATTTAAAGGGACAATATCTGATTCTGAACCATGGGTCAGGAATATGTTTTAGTTTGAACTGTCTGCTGCAGTGATATTGCACAATGACACAGAAACTACTGTCTGGGATAGCGCTGAGTAGTTGTTTCCTTAGAGTTTTCATATCTTCACCTACTATGCTTTTTAGTCACTACTGATAATGCCCCATGACAGAGAATCAAGTGTATGGTACACTGTAAAGCAGTTGTTTGCACATGATTCTTAATAACTGTGTCTGACTAGATGAAAAGAGGTGACCTGTCAGTAGCTTCTATATTAGTTATTTACAGAGAAAATGCTTTGTAATGCTTGTAATGTTTGTATTAGTTTCTTATTTAGCTCATTATTTAGTACAGGCCCTTTAAAAAAAACTGAAAGGATGTGTGTTGCACCTTTGATCACTATGAACAGCAACAGTTCTCCATAATCCCAGGTCAGAACAAAGGGATCTCCACAAAGAAGAACTGCTTTCCTGTAAATATGTGAGCATGTGTGTGTGTGCATGTATGTGTGTGCATTTACCCGCAGGATGTCTGTCTTGAGCTGCAGTTCGCTGGAGGGGGCTGAGTGCATGAGGCCCAGCAGGGTGCCCATGTCATCGTCTCCACTGGGCGACAGCACCAGCTGCTGGATGATGAGAAGAGCGTGCTCCCTGCACTGACGGTACTTCACTATGTTATGGACACAGCGTGCACCACCAAACTCTCGGAACAAAGCTGTCAACACAGTGAGTTCAGTACAACAGGGCATGGACAATCTGAGCCTGTGCAGATACTCTGAGGGTAGAGAGGCACCTGCGTTGGTGTTGGAACCCTGCAGCAGTACAGTCAGTGTCTCCATGACGAGCCAGGCCAGCTGCTTTTGCTCCTCCAGCACGTCGGGCCTCTTACCGTCACCTATGAACACAAGAGCCATGCTACTCCTGTACTTAGACACACTTCCATCAGAAGCACAGGACTTACCTCGCTCGTGACTGTTCACAGGGAGGTGTACTTACCCTGTTCGTGACTGTTAGTGGGCTGAGCTCCAAGTTGAGCTCCAGGTTGAGCACCAGGTTGAGCTCCAGGCTGAGCTCCAGGCTGAGCTCCAGGCTGAGCTCCAGGCTCCTTCAGCAGGGCAGCGTACTTGTGCAGCAGATTGACGAGCACCTCAAGGAGCCCCACCTCCCGGAGCACATCGCTGAACACGGGGTCGTGGCGGGCCAGTTTGAGCAGTGTGCGCACGGCTGTCACACTGCAGCAGTGAGATGAGCTGGACTTGAGCAGGACGCTGACACTGAACAGCTCCTTACAGGGCACATAGTTCAGACTGAACACCACAAACTCCAGCAGCTCAAAGTACTTGGTCTGGGCCTCAGGCAGCTTCACCACACGCTCTGCCAGCTGAGACAGTGTGTGCTGAGATTCCAGGATGAAGTAATTGGACGGCTCAGCCGCGTAGATGTTGCCAATGGCGTCCAGCAGCATACAGGCCAGACGACTGCTCTTAGCACGGAGGAAGGCATTCTGCAGCACAGAGAAGGCCTGGATGTTCCGCACTGTGTGGCCTGCAGGGTAAAGAGGAGGTATGAAACAAACTAAGAGCATATTGCTTAATACAACATGTGACTGAGAGCTGCTACAGTTTACAATAGCATGCTGTGTACCTCTGGTGTACCTCTGTTTGTTAACAGTATTCAGATTCACACCCTTTTTGCCTTGGAGGATCAAATGTATGAGCAGGTCCAGGGCTGTACAAAGTCATGCTTTGGATGTGAAGAGATAATATGTGAACTGACCTATGATTAGAACAGACTGCTGTGATACACACAAAGCACAGATCAGCCCTAGTCTGAAATAGGTAAAACACTTTCAAATACTGACTTAGAACTAGAGCATGATTTTGGAAAATAATATAGTTGTGATATGTTTTTGATTTTATTTTTGATATACACTTTAAAAGTAGGATTCTGTGTGTGTGCACATTGTAAACAACATTCACATTTGAGAGAAGGCTGAAATATGAACTAAAAACCTAATACAAGAATCCCATGCATTTCAGAACATGTTTGTAGAAGTCTAAACTACAGCAAACACAATCTTTATTTCTAATAAATTGATATTTTGCTCTTTACAGAGGACATTCTATTATTTAAAATAAATGCAGCTTTAACGATTTGATCATTGCAATTTTGATTAGATTGTGAAAACAAAAAATCCCTAAATTTTTCAAAAACAAAAAATCCCAAAATGTTTCATTCTCATTACTGTTTATTTTGTACGATCATAAACGATAAACTTTGTGCCTATGATAATATTATTATTAGTTAGAAAGACCATAAATGAAAACATGTTTCACCTTTGCCTGAGGGCTGGGGCAGGACGAAGCCGGGCAGCAGGAAAGGCGCTCCGGTGGTCAGCCCCGCAGGCTTCAGCTCGCTCACGCCGTACGTGCACAGGCAGGTCACCAGGTTCACCAGATCCTTCAGAGCATCTTTACACTCGTCCTCCTTAGCCTGCTCCAGCCTGAGGACAGAGAACAGGTGCTACAGGTCACTTTGCTTAAATGGATTGTTGTGGTGAAGCTGCAACAATAGCTAAAAAACTGAGGGAACTACATATACAGTGATCCTTTGCTCCATTTCTGTGCAAGACTACATGAAGAAATAACTGTTATTAAAGAGGGGACATTTTACTTCTATGTGTCTAGTAGAAGTGGACTAACCAATCGCTGCTATTTGGTTGTGATGTATATAATGCGCCACTAATGGGGCTAACTGGTATATTAAACTTTTCCCAAATCCCGTAGGAACAACGGACAATAATGTCTTTCCTCTTGATGAAATTTACCAAACATTCTCTGTATTGCGGTTTTAAATCCTCAATCTCAGGAATAGTTCACAACACTAAATGTATGGCTCTTTGCTGATTGGCTGGTGCCCGAACTTGCACTTCCGGGGTTTTTGAGAACTGTCTAGTGTATTCTGATTCTTGACTTAGTCACTAGAGAGAAATGAAACTGAGCAGAGGCACTAGATGGCGCCAGCCTGGCTAAGTAATTACAGAGATATGAACCATAAACCAGGTCAACAAATTTGCAATCTAATAGTTAAACAACAAATTATGTTAGCTCTTGTTTTTATGTTTACCTTACCTGCCTCACAGCTAGGGGGCCCTACAGCTCCTTTGCACTTGTTACATGGCTGTATGTGGGGAGAGAGAGTCCTGACTGTTGTGGTGCTCATGAACATGGTGGTTAGTGAATAAATGTGGCTGAACCATGGATCTTTTAAAATAACTGGCCTATATAAGCCTCCAGTTGATGTAGTGTCACTCACTGGTACTACAGCGGAAAAAACCCCATGGGCCGAGAGAAGATTTTTCTCATAGAGGCAATGTAATCACAAACTGCTCGTATTCAGCTGACAGGGCACCTACAACTTTCAAAAATGTCGGATTTTGTGGCGATTTTTACCTATTTTTAGATCATAAACTTTTTCTCAGCTCAAAAAATCCTTCAGTTGTCTTAAAAAACGCTTTATAATCATTAGCTTCAGCTCCTCTCGCTCTGATTGGTCAAAGCGATCACATGATACACGAGCCTGCTCCGTGCGTGCGTTCGCGTGCATTGGCGTGTGCCCGAAGGAGAAAAGCGCATACTGTGCATGCTCAGGCGGCCCACAGTCACCGGAAGTACTTAGCCGGGCTAAAGGCGAATCTGGGATCATGCGTCATTGAGCTCAGCCCATTGACTTGAATGGGCAGCCATTTTGAAACCCCGGGGCTTGGGCTGAACTAAACCTGGAGTTATTATTTAGACGAACAAATTACACCTGAGACTCTAGTCTCCAGCTCAGGTTAAAGGGCATATATTATGCTATTTCCTAATCTATGTTACAATGCTTCCTCATCAAATTCATTTCAGTCAGTCTGCCCCAGGGCAGCTGTGGCTACAGTAGTAGCTTATCACCACTGAGTGTTGAGTAAATGAATAATGAACTGTAAAGTGCTTTGGGTATCTTGGAAGGCGCTATATAAATGCAATCAATCAATCATTCAAAAACTGCATATTTAGATGAGTTCTACTCTCAAACAGAAAACAAACTGTACCACCTTGTGATGTCATATGGTAACACAGGAAGTGCTCTATGGTGTTTTATAAACTCCATACAGCTTTACTAGAATCATCTGTATAATTTCAGTGCTGGAAATACCAACCTCTACTAAACTAAAGGTAAAGGGGAGCTGTTAACTTGAAAACCATTGCTTCATGACATCACAAGGTGGAACAGAGTATTTTGAGCTTTGGAGATGTACCCAGACCAATAATAAAGGGTTACCCAAACGCCTGTGAATGAAACAAAACACAATTCCAGGTATGTTTCTGAGGAGGTAGCAACATTCTAGTGTGGCTTAAAGCTCACATGAGTTAGTTAGATTAATATAGGACCTTTACACTATAGGGATTCTACAATGTTCTACAATGTTCTACAATGTTCTACAATGTTCTACAATGTTCTACAATGTTCTACAGTGTTCTACAGTGCTGATGTCACTGAACCACCTATTGTGTACGGTGTGTGCAGGAGACCCACCTGAGCAGGAGGTCGCACAGGAAGGTGTAGCCCTGACACATGCGGAAGTCGTCCAGCAGAGTCTGGGACACGTCACTTGAGTCTTTGAGGAAACACGAGAGACCAGCAAACATCTCCACGATCTCCACTGGGGACAGGTCATCAGACTGCTGCATGTTCTGTACACACGTGGACAGGCACTCCTTCTCTGCACAGGCCAACAGACATGCATGAGTTTGTTAGTTCTTTTATTGTTCCTGCAGTGTATTTGAGTGTGAGCCATAGACTGTGTAAAGAATTGGACTAAGGGAGTGTGACGTCACCCACAGTATTCAGCTACAGTCGAATGGAGCTCAGAAAGCTAGCAGTTACAGGAGGGAATTTGGAATAGGAATTTATTTACAGACAAAATAGCAAAGTAAAAACACCAGGATCATGTAGAGTGGGTTAATACAAACATTTAAAGATAAAAATAACCAGGCTAAACAAACGTAAGTCTCTACTGTGTGTGTGTTCTCATGTTTCGAGACACGCAGCACAGACTGCTGTGTGGGTGGAGACGTACCGTGGATGTACTTGACCACATTGACGCTGAGGCCGTGTCGGGAGATGGTGGTTAGCACCTCCCCTGCACTCCTCCTCCAGGGCAGGTTGTGAGGGGGGCACCAGGAGGTGATGGCACTGAACAGCAACTGCAGGTCGTCCTTCTGAGCCAGCTCCTCGGCCGGGGACACGAACGTGCACAGCTTCACCAGGATCTGACACCACACAAATATTACATGAGATTTAAAAGGTTCTACACTGTGGAAAACTGACTCTTGTGAACTTCAAGTCATGCTGTTACCTGGAGTTGTGCTGAGTAACCCTTTATCATTAGTCTGTCTACAGTTCCAAAGCACACAATGCTTTATTCCACTTTGTGATGACATGAAGCGATACTTTTAAAAGTTAACATATTTTGAGTTTTGTTCAGTAGATTCAGTTCCTGGACTAAAATTATCCAAATGATTCTACTGAAGGCGTAAGGAGTTTAAAAATACAGTGTAGCACTTCCTATATTACCACATGACATCACAAGGTGTGTTTTCTGTTTGAGAGAAGAACAAAGGATTTGCAGGGTTTGTGTGTTAAACATATGAATAAAACAAAACACAGCTCCAGGTCTGTTTGTGATGTGGAAACAACATGATAACATACTGTAGATCAGAAAACCCTCAAGGGCCCTTTAAGTAACAATAAAAACACAGATTTTTCACTAAGACATGAGTCTCTGATCCATACCTGGACAAAGACCTTCTGGAGCAGCACTCTGCGGTCGGCCAGTGGCAGCTCAGAGTGGGTCTGGCTGTGGCCCTGTCCGGGGGTCTTGTCCTGGGGTGGGGGTGGAGGAGGAGGCTGGGGGGCAGTGCCTACGGGAGCCTCCACCATGTTGGGTAAGTCAAAGAACAGGTACAGGCATTTGACCAGCGTGGATGGCACAGACATGGTGGTCATGCAGTCCACGGTTTTCTATGAAAGAAGCAACACACAATTAAGACTGAAGCGACTTATTTTCACACCATGTCAGAGGAGACAGGCTGACTAAACTCTCACAAACCCATAGAAACATTGCAGGCGTTTATGTACAGATGTGTTTACACAGCTTGGTGAAGCAAATCCCAAATGTCTTTGTTGCACATTTGTGACCAATATAATGCTTTACAAAATATGCAGATAGTTAGATTTTGTCACATGGTGTTGCATATACAATATACAATAAAATATAACAATACACTACAAAAAAAAAAACATTGGAAACTCCAGCATGTGCTGCAGGGGACCGTAAAGCTGCGTGCACGGGGCTCTGGAGGTGACGTGGAGCAGCAGAGGCAGACAGCTGACCACCATGTGCTGTGTGAATGACCAGAGGAATGTACACTCAAAAGATGTCTGCTCACAGTGAAAAACACGTCTTACATCATTACATACTGGAGCAGAGACAGTTCAAACTGTAAAAGGTCTGAGACATTAGTGTTTTTCAGCAGACCTGTGTGTGAGAGTAGTGACCAGTCTGTCCCAGCTCAGGACAACTACAGTGGACAGTGGAGTTGTGGAATTCTGGAATGAGTCCAGAATGAGGAGGGATACTGCATTATTGTTACCCCTGGGTCAGTGATATTTTACAATTAGCGAAGGCCGAACTAAATAAAAATGACACAGTAGATTTACAGAGCCATTTCCAGTATGTTTAATTGTATATTTTAGTTTTGAGAATATGCCCCCAAGAACTGTATTTATTTTTTATATACCTGTGTTTGCTAAAGTATAGTACAGCTGTATAATATATAAAATAATGACACAAATTGAAATCTAATAGTAAACAGTTGTGCTTACATTGTTAAATTGCTTTTTATATTTACTTTTATATGTCGCTGACAAGGCTTGTAAAATGATGCCACAGATATTCTGTCTGTTTTGGTTTCGTTTAAAGCCCAACCGATATATCAGTTGGCCCATATTATCGGCCAATATGAGCACCTGGAGGCATATCGGCCATCGGCTGATAGGGGCTGATATTTCACGTGGGCATGTTATACGTCGTTATAAAGTTTAGACTCTCTACATTATGCTCATTTAATCCAATTTACAGATAGATAAATGTCCTAATATGTGTCTCCACATCAGTATTTATCTGCGGAGTCATTTGTCTGTGTGTGTCCGTACTGTCCCTGAACACACCACAGAGTCGCGTCACTCACGTGTGTTTGTTTACACTCGCAGACACAGATCCAAACGTTGAGATTATTTTCTTTTTACGGACAATCGGTTTGAATCTGGATTAAAAGGACATTTATTAGTGCAGACTTGTGATGTGAGGAGGAGCCTGTGTGAGCGGTGAGTGTTGGAAATATGTCGACTTTGAAGCAAGTTTTGGTCATTTGTTATGGGTTAGCTGCTGTAGCTCCCACACATAAACAGGCTGTTTTCTATTGGCCTATAGTAAATTGACTATACTGGCTGTATATTTGTTACTGGACCTGCATTGATATGTAAATGAGCTGTGAATAGACGTGTGAATTATGACATTTGCGCATATAATTAATTACCGCGGAGCGCACGTATTTACGGCTAAAGGCTAATAGTGATTGTTTATTTACTAGTGATGGGTCGGTCGTGAACGAAATGGCTCTTAGAGCCGACTCTTTGAAGCGAACGACGGGAGCCTGATCCTTTTTGGGAGTCGTGTTTTCTCTTTCTCTCTCTTTTTTTCTCTTCACGCCACGTGCAGACTCGTGGTTTGACAGCGGCAGCGGCTGAAAACGAAACTTTGAGAAATCTGCGTGTACATAGGATAAAAAAAAACTTGCATATTTGGCTGTAGTTTAGCATAAAATAAATAAACCAGGACTAATCTTGGGCACGAGATAGAGACCGAGTCCCGACACTCCTGGTTCAGTTTTGGTTTAGTCCTGTTTTACACGTGGTCTAGATCTGTTTTAGTCCTGGTTTAGTCCTTTTTCAGTCCTGGTTTAGACCTGGTTTAGTCCTGATTCAGTCCTGCTTTAAACATGCTTTAGACCTGCTTGCAAAAAAACAATCTGAAGAGCCGCTTGGGAGCCAAAAGAACCAGCAGCTTTTAGTGAGCCAAGCCAAAAGAGCCGGTTCTCTAAAAAGAACTGGACCCATCACTAGTGTCTAGAATGTGATGCAAAAATGCCATTAGTCCAACCTACTGTCTGTAAATATGATGTAAAGAGGCAGAAGAACAATAAATGTTGCCTAAATAAACCCAATTTAAAATCCACCAGAGCCAAACCTAAGTTTTTTAAACAATTCAACATTTACAGTGAATTTTTACATCACTAAACATATCGGCGATTATATCGGCTATCAGCAGCTCCAACTCCCATTATATCGTTTTCATATCGCAAAATCCATATCGGTCGGGCTCTAGTTTCGTTGGCCAAAAACAAATCGAATCAGAGGTGGTCTGGATGCACGTCACATCACTGATATGTAAAGCGTGTATACCTGTCCAGAGGAGGCCAGCAGGTTGATGGTGGTCAGAAGCATCCAGCCCCGACTGGCCTCTTCACTCTGATTGACCTCCAGGAACTGCACAATGGCACGGCTGGCGGCCTCTGCAGGACGGGGAATGAACAGCAGTTAGTGCATGTGCTGACTGTGGTTAGGGGGATGTCTGGGTCAGTGCAGTGCATGCTGACTGTGGTCAGGGGGATTCTGTTATGGTGAAGGCTCTGACCTGTGGACTTATTGGAGGCTCTGCGGCGGATCTCGGTCACCATGAGTCTGGACACCTGTGTGGTGAACTGCAACAGGTCTGAGAACTTGTCCGTCATGCTGCTGTGCGGAGCGTTCCCAAAAACCTGCACCAACAAAGTCTCATCACTCAGGAGGTCAAGAAACAGAGACAACTACAGCTATTCACTTTAACTCAGTCATTCCTCTTCAAATATGAGGGCATTTTTGAAGGACTGTGGAAAGTGCTATTTCAAAGACAGAGGTTTGATATTGAACATAAACCTTCCCACACATGCTGTGTACTTTGTATTTTAAAACTGAGCCTCTGTGATGAACACTCTAGATATTACGTGTTCATAATGGAAAAAATAAATCTGGTGCCATCTTTCCATGTTATACCAAAAAATGAAGCACCTATCAACATAAAATGGACCATTTTAGAAAGACTAGATGTCTGTTTTTAACATATCCAACATTTGTGATGGTGTTCTAGCTTATTTTTGCAAAATTTATTTTTGAAAATGTGGTGTCTGCATACATGCAGAGCATTCACTTTCACTTTCAGAAGCTAAGAAAATACCCTGATTTCATGACACACCACTTAAACTTAACAAAATGCTTTATTTGATTACTCTACTATTGTAAATGATGTCAACTCTTTGAGGAAACCAACAGATGTTTTGGTGTAACAGTCCTGAATTGTATATAAGCATCCTATTGTAGTGCTAGAAACATCTATTTTAGAAATGATGTGTTGTAAAGGTTCCAGCACAAGTCTTCTCTCTGGGAAGCAGAAGAAACTTTTTGCTGGGCCGTCTGGATGCATGAAGTGTATCTGAACATCTTGCAGGGCTTCAGATGTCTCTCTGATGCTTGTTTGCTCTCACGTCAAACAACATGCACACATTACTGATGACTTTAACCCACCACATTGTGTATGATTTTTTAGTTACATAGTTAATAAAAATATATTACCCCTCCCCTCCCTTTTTTGTTGCATCTTTGCACAGGATCGTAACAGACACGTTTCTATTTCTATATTTAAAGACTACATATAAGTTATACATCAAGTATAGTTTATTAAGAATTAAATGAAATATTTTATTGAGTTTAAGTTATGAGTCATGAAATCAGGGTGTTTTCTTATCTTCTGAAAGTGCCTTTATAGTCCATGAATGACGTACATTAATGCGAACACCATATTTTCAAGAATTAATTTTGCAAAAATAAGACAGAACACCATCACAAATGTTCTCAATCTATCACATCTAGTCTTTCTAAAATGGTCAATTTTATGTTGGAGAGTGCTGTCATTTTTGGTATAACGTGGTAAAGATGGCTCCAAATTTATTTCTTCCATTTTTAACACTTAATATCTTGTAGAATGTTCATCACAGAGGTCAGTTTTAAAACACAAAGTACACAGCATGTGTGGGAAGGTGTATGTTCAATATCAAACCTCTGTCTTTAACATTGCACTTTCCACAGTCCTTCAAAGATGCCCTCATATTTGAAGAGTAGAATTTTCAAGCAAATTATAGCCCCTAGAAATCTGTGATAAACCAAAAGCACATAAAAGTTTATATTCTACAAGTACATTTGACAGATTTTAACCTTTGAAAATTTGAAGGACCAACCTTAAATAGTTTTTTAGATACAACAATCTGAAAGTGGCTCCTCGGAAAACTCTGCTCAAAACATGTCAGGGGGGAGTTGACAAAATATTTTTTTATGACAAAACTATAAGGAGTTGGAAGCTAAAATTTGTAACTTTTCATATTGGAAAGTGTGTGAATCTCCTAGAATTTTGTCAGTCAAATCTGAGATGGTCGAGCAGGGCGATTTGGATTTGGTGTGGAATGACCCATGATTGTTATGAGGTAAAAGTTTTCAAATCAAATGTAGCTTTTCCTGATAACAATTGTAATACTGATTTATTCTTAATTACTATTAATAATTATTAATAAACATTGGATATGATGGCCAAATTGTTAATTTATAATTTGGTGTTTGGTTCCAGCAACAATTATCCAATCAGAAAGCAGAACGAGCGTCTTGAGAGTCTCTTGCCAGTCTCTTGGGTTGACAGTTTCAAAGCTGAAATCCAGTTGGTTTAAACCTAAAATGCCTCTCTCTGGTCTGAATGGTCACTAAACCCAGCACCTGCAGCCACTCATGAATGAGTGCTAGTGCAACCTCTGCAGCTTAGTTCATTCTTCAAGTCACCTTTTGGTCATCTTAGTGCAAACTATAGTACATTTGCAGATTTGTGTTCAAAAACATAAAACTGAGTGTGTGCTGCCTCCAGTGGCCTCGGCAACTACTCAGTTACTTGTAATTGTTGAGATTACAAGAGACTGCCCTGATCACAAACAAGTGTTTCTGATAAACACATGGCTGAGTTTGAAGTGTGGATACCCGTTAGACCAGGGGTCTCTAAACTTTTTCCTCTTGTGAGCTACTTTTTTGCAAAACAAAAATGCCAGAGAGCTGCTCATTTTAACAGTTGCTAGAAATGTAGTAAATATAAGAGACATGGCAAGCCATAAATGAGGTACAGTTTAATTCCAATAAAGCATAGCCCATTATCCAGTTATCAGTGCACAAAATTAGGCATCAAAATACAATGGAACTAGATATTACTTAATCAAATTTGAGTTATTCAGCACAATGGTATAATTCAGAAATCTCTTGGAGAACTACTTGGACGGGATGGAGAGCTACTGGTAGCTCCCGAGCTATAGGTTGGAGACCCCTGTGTTAAACCAATCACACTGTTCCTTATACCCACTTACTCTCCCCTTTAGTCCTCCAGACCCTGACCCTCCTCCTTCCTCACTCTCCCCTTTAGTTCTCCAGGTACTCCCCAGTTTCGCAGCTCGATTTCAAATGTGGGTTTGGGCAGAGTTTAGTCCCATTTTAAGTGTAGCTCTTATTGTTGGCATATGCCAGTGGAGTCTAATAGTGTGTTTCTAGAAACATTACACTGAGAAGCAAGTTCTAATCACTCCAATGAAGAACTCTCAGTGAAGTTGTAAGCAGTTGTATTGTTGTTGGACTGACCCGGTTGAAGACGGGCAGCATCATGTAGAGCTTCTCCTCCTGCTCCTTCTGAGTCATGTGGCGCGGCGGGTGGCACAGCTCGGAGAAGAGGCGCCGCAAATGCATGAGGCCCAGAGCGTTGTCCTGAGGGCTGCAGTCGTCCTGCCGGGGCCTGCCCATCATCCGCTTCACCATGTTCATCCTGGCGGCCCACCTGCATGCACACACACACACACACACACACGGTTACACACACATGAAGGGAATGTGGTTTTCAATATTAAATGGCAGTACTTTCTTTTCTGTTCCCATGTGTTTTATATGGGTGTAATCCCTGAGTGCTCCAGGTAGGTTCCATAGTGGTGTGTCTACTAGTCTATGTGCTCTTATATTTGTTCTGATACAGCTCAAGATTATTCTAGATCATTTAGTATCTGTACCTGCTCAAATGAGTATCTAGTTTCAGTCATTTTGACAGTCATGTTCACAGCACAGGGACAGTAGTGCTGAGGTCTGGGCTTGTATTCAGCAGCATTTACACAAGAGCCTCCAGCTGATGATGGAGACCGTTGCTATGGACACGCCACATAGTAACCACCAGGCTGTGCCCTCCCAGGACAGTCACACCACACTGTGCCAGGGAAGCTCTCTGCCAGACACAACGCATACAGGACATCTGGATTATGAAGAGAGGTCAGCTGTTTTTAGTGTAAAACAGAAAAGATGCTTTTCCTTTACTCTCGAGGTGTGAGATGGATGGAAAAGTGGATGGATGAATGATTTGGGAAAAATATCTCACTGCAATTTTTCTGATAAGCATTACAATTGTGAGTAAAGTTGAGATTTCTGTTTTAATAATGTGATTCTGTTCAAAGTTCATGTTTTTAACACATCCAGAAGAACTGACAAAAACACTGAAATATGAACTGACAAACTCATACAAGAATCACATTTCAGAACATGTTTGTACACATCTAAATGACAGGGTTAGCAGCGTTTAAACACAATAAGACACCATGGAGACACCATGAGTCCATCTGACACACAAAGAGGGCATCTGACACACAAACAGGGCATCTGACACACATTTCAGAACACATTCGTACAAATCTAAACTACTAAACTAGGGTTAGCAGCTCTTATGCAGAATAATGCAGGAGATTTTCTTGTTTGTGGAAGAAATTGTAGCACTTCAAAAATTGCAGCCTTTGCAATTTGCTCATTTTTTTTACTTAACTTTTTAAAATTTGAATACAAATAATCTATTAATTGTGGCCATACCAGCTTGTCAAAGCCTGATCCCGTCAGATCTCAGAAGTTAAGCAGGCTGGGTCTGGCTAGTACTTGGATGGGAGACCACTAGGAATTCCAGGTGCCACAGGGGGGCGCCAGTGGCAAAAAACTGTCATTGTGTCCTTAGGCAAGACACTTCACCCACATTGCCTAGTATGAAAGTGGTGTGAGTGTGAGTGATGGTGGTGGTCGGAGGGACCGATGGTGCAGATTGGCAGCCTCGCTTCCGTCAGTCTGCCCCAGGGCAGCTGTGGCTACAGTAGGAGCTCACCACCACTGAGTGTGGAGTGACTGAATAATGAACTGTAAAGCGCTTTGGATATCTTGAAAGGCTCTATATAAATGCTATCAATCAATCTATTAATAAGAAGGACAAAGAAATGCATTATTATTATTATTATTATTATTATATTTAAATTAGGACTACAAGATTAATCTGAATGTAATTGTTCATTTTGAATGGATGCAATTAGCAAATCTTTAAGGGTGCTTTCACACCAACAGTAGTTAGTGCGCACCAACAGGTCCAAAAGCTCTTAGTTCGGTTTGTTTTCATTGGTGTGAAAGCATCAATCGGACTCAAATCCACAGTAGAATTTGTACTTGAATTCGCACCAAATGTGCGCAGTCCCTCTGGTGTGAACGCAAACTTGGGCCCAAACCATAGTCAGAGTCAGTAGCTCCAAACAATCCATTCCAAATGCATCATGGGAAGGGATATGTGTACCTTCTGCATGAAATGACACACTTTACAACTCCAGCGCAATAACAGATTGTTGTCCAGATGCAGCCGCGTGTGTGTGTGTGTATGTGTGTGCCTGTGCGTGTGTGTGTCTGTCCACCCGTGATAATTCCGCCATTTATGGACCGATTGTCACCAAACTTAGTACGTGGGTCAAGCCCCTGTGCCCGATGCCGCAAAAAAAAAGTTTGGTGATGATCCGAGGTCATTTGAGGTCACACGGGTCAATTGAAAGGTCACACCATTATAAAGGATAAGCAATTTCTGCAATTTATGAACCATCTGCGGCCTAAAATATTCACCAAATCATCACACAAGCCCCCACCGACTGCTCATGAGGGACCAGGTTGCTACCTGTGAAAGCGCTTGTTTTAGGCTATTAACTAACCAAATCATTTTATGGCCATAGGCAATCGCCTATTCAATTGATTCAACTTCAAAAATGTCCCGCTTTTAGCCTAGTGTGAGAAATGCTACAGTCGGACTAGATCCAAACCCAGTCTCCTGAACCAGCGGGAGCAGCTCTGGTTCAGGTCGGGCTCAGATGAGCTGGAGCGGGGAGTGATGTTAGGTACCTCTCCCTGAGAAGCATTTTCCCTGGGAAGAACCAAGAGCACAGAGGATGAACCACTCAGAACAACATATATTGAACCAAACTGGATTCACGTTTCTGTCCAGATGTTTTGCACCACCTCCAAACCAGATGCGGCCCTCGAGCACAGAGGACAGGAGCAGCCTGCCTGGACCTGTAGCTCATTCTAGCTTTGCCCGCACAGAACTGCTCCGACCCAGTCCACTGCGCACTCACTCACTCACCACCGTCTGGAACCAGCACATGGAGGACGGAGTCTCCGGACCTATCTGACCAACCAGCTCGGAAAACAGCACAAGACCAAGGAGCGGACCCCAGCCCCGTCCTGAAGGGCTGTGTGCTACAGTGAGTGCTCCTGTGTCTTTAGCGCTATTACCTCAACTCAGTGCTTCTGCTCTAGGCTGATGTGATTTGTGCACAAAGGTCTAGGCTACATGCTGCTGTTTTATGAGTTCATGATGATAAGTAGAGATGAGGACCCTGGTCTTAACAGAGAACATCGGTGTTGTTAATTGGAGGTATCGCTGTTCTCCCGGGAAACAGAGGCACGTCAGTCGGACCAATTTTGGTTCGTTTGCAGGTGTGAACGTGGACCACAATGGAGTCTAGATGCTACATAATAAGAATTTTATTGCCTGGTGTGGACCAAATAATCAAACTGAAAACATCCTAAGACTGTTATTTTTTAAAAGAAAGAGCCATTACACATTTAGCATGGCACACAAACTATTACACAATCCCTTCATGGCCTTCAAGTCCAGCTCCTCATGCACACTTCCAAACAGCCTCAAAGTGACCTTAATATGGCACTCTTCACTATGTGGTCCCGTGGTCCCAGAGCCTCTGTAGTTGAGTTATAGGCCTTCCTCCAGTCTTAAACATCTAACCCTGTACTTTCGATCTGTACTAACATGTTCTGAAACATGATTCTTGTATTAGTTTGTCACTTCAGATTTCAGTCTTTTTGTGACTTCTCCCCTAGTGTTCAAAATCAAAATCTAATCTTGATACTTGTCAGAATAACCACAATTAGATCTTTTCCCCAAACTGTGCAGCCCTACATGACGTCACTGGAAATAAATGAATACAAGAATAAATGCTGAAATGTTTTCACTAAATGTGTGTGACTGAACACTTGCATATATTCTTATAAAGCTTGTTTATGCATTTTGCATTAATGTATTCATTTACACGTTGCTACATTTATGTTTTACACATTTTATTTATTTTTACATATATTATTTCTACATTTATTTCTGACATTTATTTTTTTCCTCAAGAATGTTTTTATGCATTTATTTAAGTTAATGCATCTGATATAAAAGTGTATTGAACAGATACATATGTACTCTAGTTTATGAAACTGTTGACCTTTTTTCTGTACCATTTTTGGTTCTAAAGTTCCATACGTTTTAAACAGACCATGTATGAAACATGGAACAAAAATTATTTCCCAAATTTCAAAGACCTGCAAATCATGTAAATAAATGGATGTATTTCATCATATCTTGTGTTATTCCATCTTTGAACTGTTGATGAAGGTACATGATTTAAAAAAAAAATAAAAAAATTAAATGCTAAAAATTTGCTTGGAAGGACTGACATATTTTATAGAAATAGTTTCCTTTCATTTTGAAGTAATATTAAAGTATTCGGAAGAAAAAAGTTGACAAATGATGTAAAATCCTGCACCTTCTACTTGTTTGCACAATTTTCCCTCCGTTACCATGACCTTTCTTAATAAAAAATCTCATGACTCAAAAAGTAAGAGGTTTTTCAACCTAATCTTGTACCATATGGTAGAAAACTATATGAAGTAAATATTCAAACCAGTTTGTTTAGGAAGTGAGAACCACTAGTTATCACTGTTTGTACTTATTTCCCAAAAAGTGCTGCATATTTCATTCCCTCCGTTACCAACATGAGTTTTTAAATTTTTTTGTCAACAACTTGAAAGAATATCACAGGTTTAACTTGACCCTGTTGGAGTGTAACTCTTTCCTACATTCTGATACTCCCTCTTGTTTCTGAATAAGAGACATTTGAATGTCAAAAATCTGCCCCTGTTTCCCTCCGTTACCACTTGACCAGACCCTGATATTTATCTGCACATTTATTTCCATATTTCTGTGCTGTTTTTATTCATGTGCGTTACATGATGTCTGGTCCGCCATACAGCCCTGTTTCAATAGAGTTTCATGATTATTTGGGTCATGTCTTGTCTTGAAGCTTGGGAGGCCGGTCCTGCTGCTTCCTGCTCTAATGACACCTTTGGCAGTTTACAGGTCACAAAATGAGCCATATTCCTCCTCCATGTTAACTAGTGCTTTTGGAGACTGGACTCTACAGTCCCTGACAAAAGTCTTGTCGCTTATCCATTTTGTAGAAACAAAAGCTTATAACCTGACTTTAAATTAATCGATTGGTTTTAGAAATGTCTCATATGAAGCTAAAACCCTCCCAAATTATGCTCAATATACTAAAATAAATTTGCTTCACTGAAGAAAGATTGATCATTTAATGAACACAGAAAGGTCAGATTTTGGCAAGACAAAAGTCTTGTGGCCTTGTCATATGATGCACCCAA